AGGAATTGGTCATTTTTTCCATGAACAGCAGTCAACCCCCAAAATAGCACAAAATCAGAAAAAGATCAGAAAAGCTGTAGAGCTTGCTAGAAGACACTAACCATCCTTGCTGAGCTTTCCCTCCACAGAAGTTGACACCATTTCTGTCCTGCTTAGAGGACATCTTATAAAACGTTTCTAAAACAGATCCTTCTCCACCAGTTGCTGCTTGTTCATGGCATCTGCGTGGCAGAGGATTTATATTGACCTGGGCCAACGTCACAAATGCCATGTGCATTTTTATGAGCCTGCTAGTTACTGCAGCCCTGTCTGCTGGAGCCAGAGGGGAGGGCTTCAGGAAAACCAGAAGCTCCCAGGAACTTATCAGCAAAACCTCCGTGCTGGACCTACACGGGTCTCTGAAGCTGTCCAGGGAAGGCGGTGTGCTGGTTTTCCAGCTTCAAATGGCCAGGCAGCAGGTCTGACCAAGGGCTGCAGTCAGACAAGCTTAACCTGCACACAAACCTGGCATGGCCAAAACAAGCTTCTGAACACCAGCACAAAGCCTGGCCATCCCAAATGCCAGTGAAGTTTCCTTCCTGAAACAGGTGTTGCATGCTCTTCAGGGACAGTGTAGTCCTCTCCATCTGGACAGGGAGGTGTGCGGATCCTTCCACCACCCCCAATAAGAAAACAGCTGAAGACCGGTAACCTCTACAGGGTCTTCCTGAGATATTTTCCAAGCCAGGAAAAGCCATATCAGGGGCAGCAGAAGGGAATACCAGCTGATGCAAACACGCCAGGGAGGACCAGAGAATTGTTCAGAAGAAGCATCATCCATCTCATCTCTTACCAGTCTTTCCCCAAACATTTGAGATTAAAATTTAAAAAGCCAAGAAACCCACCACCAGCAACAAAAAGCGAAATGCAGCTTGGTTTGTCTCTACTTGCAGAAGCACCACCACGCATCTGGCTGTACGGGAGACTTAAAGCAGAGAGGGAGAGCCAGCAGGACACCAAATGGCGGGCAGCAGCTAATTCCTCCTGCCTTTACAACAACGAGTCTATCTCCTCTTGGCTTCGTGTCTTTGAGGCAGGAGGCAGAGCCTTAGATGGGCTTTTTGGCACATGGTGCATTTCTTGCAAGAACCATCTCTAGCAGTACATTGGATTTTTGCTTTCAACCTGTGATGCAGCCTGGCATATATCCAGGGTCACCCACTGTCACCTGCCTCCCTGCCAACCTGGTTATAACCACGTACTTTGGCTCCACATAGACTCTATTAATGCTTTGCCTAGGAGAAAGGGCAAGTGCCTGGACTCAATAGAAACGCTTGAAAACAGGAACTCTTTATCAATATGGCACCAATTAAAGCTGCCTGGAGGCAAGGCAATGGGCTTGGGGTGCTGATGGAGAAGAGGTCGAGGCAGTAGAGGACAGGAATGCTCGCCAGGTGATGCCATGCTCTCCTGCTGCAGGAGAGGAGCCTGCACGGAGCAGAAAGCAGACAACAGCAAAACTGAACCGGAAAGTACAGCACCAGGGCTTACACCATCTTCCCCCAAAATGCCTGACGTGATATACCATGAGTAGGCTGCCGTGACTTGCAGATGACACGTGTCTTCATCAGGCAGGGCTCAAACTGAGGTTGACCTTGACGAATCGGTGGGATGATCTGAAGTCAAACAAGATGAACTTCAGGGCAGACATGGGCAAAGCAAGGAGGAGCGTGGAAATCAAAGGCACAGCGGGCAAATGGGAGTAATTGGCCTGGCAAAACATGTCTCCAAGGAGGGGGCAAGGCTGCCATCGAACGTGAATCCATGCAACGATGATTGCTTTTCCAAAGCAGCTCTCATGCTGGGAAGCACATGGTAAGGCATTCCAGTGGGAATCGCTCCTGCTCAGAGACAGGGGTCCCAGCTGGAGAGCTTGGCACAGGGTTCTCCTCCTGGGGACCAGCATCCCCAGCTGGAGAGAGCCCCAGGAGAGGCCCCAAGGAACAGGTTACAAAAACCTAGCACGGGGAAAAAGCTAAGGGAGCCAAGTTTATTCAGTTTGGAGGGAAGAAGACGTGATAAGGAGCATTTAAGTATAGAAAGATGCTGATGGATTCCTGCCTTCCACATGCTCTGCCTTCATCATAGTCCATCTCCCATCCGTTTGAGCCCAAAGCACTGGAGATGAAACATATCCCTGTCCATATCCCCTTCCATGATATGCACACACACCAGTCCATGCCTCCCCCAGCTGCAGGAGGCACCCCAGCCCTCGAGCACTGCTTTGTGGTGTTTAAGCAGTGGCCTTTGTAAGCAGGTTATGAAAGCAATCTCTAGCAGCCTTTCAGGCTTTATTTGCACTGCAGCCTGCAGTTCATGTCTTGCTGCCAGACACAGGAGCATGGTGACTCACAAGCATGCAGTGACTAACCCCCAGCCAGGGTCTACACCCCAGTCTTCCCTCTTAGCCCAGACACGTGCTGGGCACCTCAGAGTCTGGCCATATCAGTAAGGAAGGCTGATCGTCACCTTTTTTTGAAGATCAGTGGAAAAAGCAATGCAGATTAACGCTATGCCAGTGCTGCCTTGGACAGAAGGACCTGTTGCATCCCCAAAATACCACATCTTGCCATCCCTGCATTAGGCCGCCTTCCTTCCCACCTACCCACCCTGCATCTCATATGGGCAGGGAGTGAATCCTGTCTCCCAGATTTGCCCCCCAAAAAGCAGACAATGGAGCAAGAGACATTCAACAAGGCTCATTCTCAGTCCAACCTTGCCTTTGAGGAGCCCAACACCATCTGAAGTGCATCCAGTGCTGTGCATGCAGCAATTGTCTCTCTTGTGCAAAGGCAGCCAGTACAAGACATTTTTCCACCACGGCAAAGTAGTCCTTCACGCCCTGTCATATCCTCTGGGGTCCTGCTCCAAGGCAACATCCTGGGCCACAGCCTTTCTGACCCAGCCACAGTAAGCTAGTATCAGCACAGCCTTCAGCAGCCAGCAACTCCAAAGATGTACCGGAGTTGCTTGAAGAACTGCTAAAACCACAAGAGAGGTCAAGCCAATGCCTGGGGTCAAACAGTCAGCATCTCCAGGGCAAGGACAAGGGTCCACCACACTCACAGCCACACCAGGTGGGTCCGCCAGTCACCCTTGAGTCCTTTGCAGAAGCAACACTGTTGTGATGCTCCAGCACTACCCCTGGGATGGGAGTTGGAGGAGCAGGAGGGAGCTGCTCTGCTTCCCACCTGAGAAATCTGCTCAGTCAGAGAGATCTCACCATTGCAGCCCCATGTGTGAGCTACAGCTTCAGGAGTAGGAGCCGAACCATCCACAACTCCTGGGCCTGGGAGAGGCTTCTCAGAGAGTACGGCATGAGCACATCAGCACAAAGCTTCCCTAGGCTATGGATGGGACGAGAGGGTGGCCAGCACGTCTGTGCACCCAGGGCAGCTCAGCTGGCCTCCTCTTTGCAGTATTTTTCTTGCTTATAAAGGCAGCACTACATCAGATGATGTGTAATATGTAAAAAGGACCCTTGCTCCTCAAATGCAAGGTCTGCAGAAAAAACCCAGAGTCCCAGCGTATGTGTTTTCACCATCAGTAACTATCTCTGATACATCAACGACTGCTGGAAATCCAGAGGCCAGTTGCTGCTGTGAGCAGGAAGAAGGAGCTACGCGCACATGGGGGAAAAACACACCCCAAATCCCCTGGCGCCAACAGCAGAAGCAAAATAGCAGCAATGTCCAGCCACAATCGGTCTCCCACTGCAGGTGCTGCCCTGTACCAGGGTCTCCGTGGCAGCAGCAGGGCTGCAGAGAGGCAAACGTGAGGAGATCAGTTTTCCAGGCATATCAGCTCAACCCTCCATCCTGCAAAATGAACTGGGGTCTCTGGCTACAAGGCATCACCCTCAATCTCATAGAAATGCTCATTAGAGATGTATAATAGACCCACCACAGCTGAGCCCAGCAGGGCCAGGGTGGCAAGCGCAGCAGTAAAGCACCAACATACGAGACCCACTCCCCCAAGGAAGAAAGGGGAGAAAAATGAGCTAACGAGATGCCAAACTGAACAAGGGCCTTAGGAGCAGCCTTGTTTAACCTGCTGACCTCAAAGAGCAGAGCATCCCTGTGCACACCTCTTACCCCTGCCTGCCCAGAAGAGACAGCAGCCCACAGATCCCAGGGATTATCAATTTAACGGACCTATAAACCACAGTTCAGTTAGATGAGAGAAATGCTGCTGTTCAGCAAGACACACTGTTTTACCTGCTGCTCCCTTCATCACCATGGGCTGGTGGGAGCAGGACACAGGAGGGGTTTTGGACATAAAGGAGGGGTAATATGGCTGCTATCAAGAAGTAGATGAAGAAACTCTGCAGGAGGTCTCAGCTGCTGGGCAGGCACCCAAGCTGCTCCCCTCCACCCATAGTGCTGTTTCTCTGCCAGACGACACCTCCAAAAGTGATATGGCCAGGGCCCTCTGCTCCCAACACGCCCACAACCTCTCCTGAATCACTCACCTGCCTGCTCTCTACCCCTGCAACTCACTTTCTAAGACTGAACTAGGTGGTCTCATTTTCGCAAGGATGCGCTTCCGAGACACCAAGCACCCATAGCTGATGGAAGAGGCTTAGACTAGGGTGTGCAGCATCCAAAAATGATGCTGATTCCTTCCAGAGGGGACATGGGTAAAATGTGTTTCATGGCAGTAAAAGATGACCTGAGGGGTAGATGTCCAATGAGCATAGCACCTCCCAGCAACCACTGCCAACTTCTTCACATTTCTGGAGACATGGCCCTTTCCTCCACAGTTTTCCAGGGCATTTTGATGCCGATTCTTCAGCTAAAGGTGCAACACTGATGCATTAACATACAAGGGCCTGATACCACAACACATCATCATCCTACAACTTTCTCTCCCAAAGCACACATGGCTTGGGATGGGATACAAGCTGCACAGTGGGGATTGACCCCAGGGGCTTTTTCACCCCTCGCAACACAGACTCTCACCCATCAAGTAGCTCTTCACCTTCAGGTATCCAACAGTCAGTCGTAGGATAGAGAGTTTGTCAAGCCTGGTGCGCACATCTTCAGGGAAGGGCAACAAGCCTGTCAGCTTGTTCAGCTCCTGGTTCAGCCGGTCTCGATGCCGCTTGGAGGGATTTGACTTCACAGCCTCAGGGGGTGGCAGTTTGGGGCTGAAAGAGGCAAAGGAGAGTTTTATCAGACTGGGCCGGTCCAACAGGCTCTTTCCAAACCCAGTGTTGACTTTAGTGCAGCCACAACAACAGTAAAACATCAGGTGGCCACGGTAAGGCCATGCAGCAGCGAAAGCAAGCTCCAACAAGCCCACAAGGCAATTGCTGGAGGAGACATGGCCATCCCAGCTGGCACCTCGTGCAGCCTCAGGCATAACATTCTCCAGATGGAGCACAGGGAGATCCTCGGATGGGCGCCTTAATGTGCAGCCTGGCTGAGACAGCTCAACTGGATACTACAGCCTTGCTCCCATCTTTGCTCCCACCCCTGAGCCCTGGCAGGGAAACGGACACCGAGGGCAGAGATCTACAGTCCATCAGAGCATCTCTTGGAGATCTGGTTAGATTTTGCCATCCACACTCTGCTCTGTCCACCCTTTCTCCTCTTCTTCCTCATCCCGTAACCTTCCCACACAGCAGGTCTCTTCCCTGGCCATGCTCCACATGCTCACACCACGTCCTCACCACGGAAAGCACTACCTTGAGTTGCTCAGAAGATTCACATCAGCTGTTCTGCCTGCCCAGGATAAGCAGCTCTTGGCCAGGCCTTAGCAATAAGCATGGTAACAAATAGCAAGAATGGAAAGAAGGAAGGTCCAAAAAGATTTTTTTTTTAATTTGAATTTATTTCAATTATTTTCTTTTAAGTTTCCTCTGACTGCTCAGAGCCTGAATACATCACTTTAATTACGAATATAACAAAGAGGAGCACATGTGGAAAGTTAGTGACAGGACTTGGACAAAGAGATACTACATCGTGTGGTTTAGGGCACAGAACTTTGAAAACAGCTTCTTTTTATAAAAAAAAAAATGGTTTTTTTTTTCAAATTTGTTCTCTTCCAATATTCTGATTTCTGATGCTTTCAGATGGCCATTTCCAACCTAAAACAACACCTGATGCCAAACTTAGGCTCTGAGACCAACCCTCAGTCTGCAGAAAGAATAGAGTCCACAAGAGCAGCTCTTCTCTGTCTTAAGCTGACATGAGGACCCATCTCTATCAGCTGCAGTTATTTCACATGCTACAACTGAAGTCCCAGCCACAGTGGTAAGAGGTTGATTAATAACTTCAATGAGTCTTGGATGTCACCTTGTCTCCTTTGGTTTTTAACACCAATTTAAATTTTCTAGCTTGAAGAAAAACCCTTCAGACCCACCCCACCCCCCGCCCCCCCTATTCGGTTCGACTGCATCCCCTAACATGCAACTTGCATTGTTTTGATGTAATTCGTCTAACCACAAACTCCCTCTCTGCAGGCATCCTTGCTTCATAAAGTAGCTGCAGAACAGGATCTGCCAGTATTCAGCAGCAATTTAAGCTCTCCCCTCTACCACCACTCTTGAATATCATCTGGCAGGACTGCTCGCATGTGTGACAAGAGAGGAAATGAGCACTAAATGAGATGCAGTGAGGTGCCTGTTGAATTTTCATCACAGAGAGCTACCAAGGGGTCTTCTAAGCATGAATGGAGAACAGTAGCATTTCTCCAGAAACGCTTCATTGTACTGTTTTGTAACATAAGCATCAGGAGGGATATACCCTGCTTCTCAGAGAGGCTGGGTACAACTCATCGCCAAACTTGTTCATACAAGCTGGGCAAAACACACTGGCAGCAGTGCTTTTATGTATTCCATTAGCCAATGGCTTAAACACTTTTGAAATCAAGTCACTCACCAGCAAGGAAAAAAAATGACATATGATATTCTTAGACTCTGTCTCTGATTAAGAAATTTAAAAAAAGGAAAGAGGTGAAGAAAATTGTTCTGAGTTTCCTCAGATATCCTTTAAAGAAAAGTCCTCTGTCCAATCATTATCCAAATCCAGCCCACAGACAGCCAGAAAGAAGAGAAAATGAAACTGGATATGAACAAGGAGTGCTGCTCTGTATGGGAGAGGATAAAATACAGAGGTGTAACGGGGTCTCTTGGATAGTCTGAGATGCATGGGGTGACACAGCCAGTAGAGAAGCACCACAAGGCTAAAGGAGGACACCTCAACGTCTGTGTTCCTTCACATCCCCAGCTCCAGCATGCAGGGTGCTTCACAGTCATCCTTAAGAGGAGGGATGACCAAGAGGAAGATGGCTCTGGTGATGCCAGGCGGCTCTTTTGGGCCCTTTCTAGGGACAAATGCTGCACCCTATGCCCGTGACTCTGGGGCCAGAGGCTGCACAGTTCTCCATCCTTATGGATGGCACAGCAAAACAGCTTCCAGGTGCTCACCACTGACAAATCTGTTCGCTCTCTGCCAGGCGGTTATGAAGCTCCCAAGAGCTCCGTGCAAGCCAGAACTGTCAGTGCCCACCACACACACTCACCAAACGAAAGACATTGACTTGAGCACAACCCTGTTATTAACCACCAGAAAACCTGCACAGGTGAGCACCGCAGGAAATGATGTTCCCCCAATGGAAACAGCGAAGCTTGGTCTAGATGTTTAAAATCTGTTTAAATTCCTTGCCCTGTGGGCTGTCTCCATCCACACTGGCAGTCTCTGCTGGTCCTGGGCACTGTGCAAGGCTGTCCCAGGGAGTCCTGCTACTCGAGCACAACCTTGGAAGCTCAATGAAACAGCTCAACACCTACTCAATGAGCAAAGAAAGGGCATTTTAAAGAGGTCTGAGTCCCCATTCTGTTTGCAGGAGCCCTAATGTGGCACAGACTTAGGAAATGGATACGGTGCAAAGCTTGGCGCAGCCATGCCATGGAGTTCACAGTGAAGTTGCTGAGAAAAAGCTGCTGACCTCCACGTAGATAGGCTGGAGCAGAGCCACAAGGAAAGCTCCGCTCCCAGCAGGGCAAAGGCTGGGCTGCTGCTGCGGTGTTGTTTTTCCCCAGTTGCTCTTTGAACAGGGAACCCAGCAGGAAGTTTATCATTTTTGCAAGCTGGCAAGTACCAAGTGACATTAACTACAACAGCTGAGGTTGCCTGAGCTGATACACTACCTCCTAATTTTTATTAATTTTTTTTTTTTTTTTTTTTGTAAGTAAAAAGCCCAGAGCAAACTGCAAAGGGACCAGAGCTCCCTAACTTCATCCTTCCCCCCACGACCTGGCTGGCTGCACATCCCGCTGCTCCCAGCCCTGCTCCGGCTGACCTCTCCCAGCAGGACCCTGCTGCAAGATCAGCCCAGTCACAGGGGAAAACAATCTCTTCCGAAAAGGGTTGGCCTCGTGGTACTAAAGATCGAAGTCCCTTCTGCTCCCAAGAGACACCTTCTCCTGTACCCTGAGCCACACAAATCCAGCCCAAACCCTCAGTCTGGACACACCAGCCCTACCACAGGACTGGAATCACTGCTCCGAGGTGAGCAGAAGACAGGTTTGAGGCAGAGCAACTACACTTTGCATTGTCACACTTCTTTAAAATACTCTAATAAACACCCAAGAGAGGCTCTGGCTCACCTTCTCACCATAGATTTATAACATTGATACCCTCTCCTTCATCCCAGGCTTGCGCTCAGCTTAACATCTCACCACACATTTGTAACATTGATGGTCCCTTCTTCATCCCAGGCTTGGGTTCAGCTCATCTGTCTCCCCCTACTGCTTCCCAGAAATATGTATTTCCTGTAAGCCTGGTAACTTGATGTAAACAGCCTGATGTGACTTCGGAGGTGGTGTGGGGGGAGGCATGAGGGTCCCATAGCCAGGAAACTCCAGCAATGCATCCGGGAGGCATTATGCAACAGCTATTGAGCAGCTTGCTAATTAATTATTAAGGAATAGGGACCTTTTGGTAAATAGTAATTGCTGTACATGTGATTTACGCAGGCACCGAAACGTAAGCCAGCCTGCAACTCAAACCAGAGGAAGAGCCGAGCATCTCAAACTCCCCAACGAGCTGCCTCACAGGAACACCAGGGATGCAGGACAATCATCGCTATGATTTTTATTTTTCCACCAGCGCGACAGAGCCTACAAAGCATTACCTCCAATTAACCCTAATTAAAAGAGAGTAGCCCAAGCACGCTGTCTCTCTATCTCTTTTGCTGCCTCAACGCTTACATCAGAGCAGCTTACCGCAGCTCCCCATAACCACTTCGGCTCTCGCAGACCGGTTTTCTGCCACCCTGCCCGGTTCCACACACCTGCCCCAGCTTCCTCCACCACCCGGAGCTGCCACCCCGTGGATAACCGGGGGCGGGGAGGGAAAGAAACACCTTCCCTGGAGCACATCTGACACCCACCCACTCCCTCACACTGCACGCACCTCTTCG